TCTTTGCGGGGTGTGGAGTCGAAGGAAAAGTTGACAGATACCATGTCATGATCAGAGTTACCAAGAGGGCAGAGCTGTATGGCGCTACAAGATTTGGGGATGGAGGTAGAACACAGATCGAGAAGGGAGGCCTTATCTGCCAGGTTGAGGGCAAAACACGTGGGGAAGTCAACTATCTGCGTGAGGGATTGAGATATTGAGAAGTTAAGTGTTTGAATGCCAGCCCGGTCAGTAGTAGCATTCTCGAGCCACTTGGTATGATGGGCGTTAAAGTCACCAAACACGAATATGTGAGCAAACGGGTGGAGAGAGAGGGCCTTGTCTATGCTGTCAGATATGCTATCGAGTATCCCACAGTCTTGAGAGGATGGAGAGCGATAGAGGAAGAAGAGATAGCTTACAGCATTGAGGAGCGATAGTCGGAGACACATGTACGAATGGTCTGGGGATTTGAGAGACAACTCTCTGGCCAGGGGGAGGTGGTCCTTGACATAGACACCAAGGCCGTGCATCAAATTATATCAACAGTTCAACAATTTTGAGCATAAAAATTTCCATGGTATATGATTTGAATTTAAATTCAGGAAACAGACAAATGATACAGCCATGTAAGTGATTAAGATATATTTCTGAAGACACTCTTAAATTGTTTTGTATATTCAAAGTTTTCTGAATTGACATATCTAAATGCTATGTACTGTTATCTTCCTATATGTTAAGGAAAATTGCTAATAAATGTCAATAACTATTAAAGAATAGTATGATGTCTTCCACTTAAATTGATTAACTCTAATGTTTTTCCATTATTTTAAATCAAGTTGTGTTTTTAGTAGTAGTCCCCCATTTTTCAAAAGCCAGTTTTTAATCGCAAAATAATAAGAATTATTTAGCTACATTACCAAAAGGTTAGGAGGCATGGTGGAGTAATGGATAGCAGCTCGGATTGAGAAATTGGAGTGCTGAGTTCGAATTCCAGTCAAATCCATTGCATTCACTTATATGCTAATACCCTTGGGAAAGGTATGAATCCTCTTCTACCCAGCTATGGGTAAATAGCAGGACAGACTGGGTTCTATAGCCTTTTGAAGGCAACTGGTCTACTTCAGAAAGAAATGGCAACCTACTGCTGGAAAAAAATCTGCCTCGTCAGTCATGTATTGAAAGATACATGGTCGCTTAAGTGTGTATTACGCATGGTACATAACTGACTGACTGACCAAAAGGCATAAAATTGGATACATACATTGTATAAAAAAAATGAATATCTGTACATCAAATTTGTTTCATAACTCTTATGATTGTAGTTTTATGTTACACTAAACCAATCTTAGGAAAATACTGATACCCCATTTAGGATTAATGAAAAAATAATCTAATATAAAGATTAAAAAAAATGCTCTATGTTTTAAATATATATTGATGTTTCAGCTTTTGCACATTATATAATTATAGTGTGACTGCAGATAATAGATATTGTTATCCCAAATTATAACTACCATATATATTAAAGATGATCTTCCCCCATCTACAAGTAATATTTCGCTTATCTTATTTGCAAATTTGAGGTATCTGTCAGGCTAATGTTTATCTAGATACCATAGATGACCAGAACTTGTTTAGCCTAATTCCATAATGTAATATTAAATATAAATGGTGTGTGGTGGGGCATCCCATTAAATACTCTATTTATTATATATATTCTGAGTACACTTTAGCATTTCAAACAATAAATAAGTAAGCTTGTTTCTAAACTGTAAACTAGTGTTACACCAATTCAAATGACACTTCTGGTTTTCCGAGCTCTGGTCCTTAAAAAGCCCAAATTAATTATTTGATATATCTTCATAGGAGCTGCCCACATAGAGTAATGCTTAAGGTTTAAAATGATTTTTTAAAAATGAAAAAACATTCTTGAAGCTCTCTTTTTAGTTTTAATTGAGAGCTAAATGATTAAATCTATTATTTCCAGTAAGCAAAATAATCTGGTGCATTTTTCAAATAGAAATTATATTGACTGGAAAATCATCTAAAATCGGCTATTTTCAGAAAATCATCTAAAACTGGCTATTTTTGACACATTTTTAAACAAAAGTTAATTCTTGGTTTTAAAAATCTTCCAAAAATAAAATAAACTTTTCTGAAACTTTATTTGAGAGATATTACCTAATTTAAATTATAATTAATCTTATTTGAAAAAGATATTTACTTTAAAATTAAAATAAGAGAGAAATGGATTTTTAAAACAAACAGTAGCAGTGATTTACACACTTTTTATCACCCATCAATCAATTAAGAAGTGCTGGAAGGTGTTGACAAATTTTTATTTGTTGTTCTACAAAGACTTTATCTGTTAAAACATAATTTAAGAAAATGACAGGTGTGTGCCTTTTTTATATAATTTTTTTTAAGTATTCAGTAATCTTAAAAATGTTGGGAAATATTTCTCAATCTAATTTAAGGAATATTGACTTTAAATTTATTATAGTCTTCACTCTTATTTTCTGATAATGTCATGTATGGTTGACCATACTTTCAAACAGGGAACATGTTACATAATATTTTATATACATAAAAAAATTTTAAATTATTTTTAAAATCTTGGTGCAAAATACTTTGTATTAAGCTTTTCAATTTTTGATTAGTAAATATAGTTTTCACTTAATAATAATATCACCTAACCAGATTAAAGTAATACAAAATTATAAATGATTTATATATTATAAAATATTATAATTAAAATTTAAAAAATAGAAAATAATTCTTGTAAAAATTCATTATTCATCAAATTTTTTTCTTAGCACAATAGTGTCCTTATTGAATCTTATTTATAAAAACAATCAAAAACTTTTCTAATTAAATAATGTCATAATTTTATTACATTTTTTATTTTACAATTTGGAGCAGTTTTTTTGGAAATGGGTTGTAGTTTGAAAAAAAATTGATGATTTACATTCTTCAAGGAGTTCTGCTAATAAAATAAATTTTGAGATTGAAATTTAATTTCTTGAAATTCAGTGAGTGTGCGTGTGTGGGATGGGGGTAACATATGTAAAAAAAAAAAAAATTTTTTACCAAGATTTTCTAAAAAAAAATTTCAAACATAATTTCATTCATTTGTGAATAAGTCCTGAAAGTTTCATTAAAATCTGACAATTATTTGATTCTTGCAAGAATTTCCAAATCAATGTGTTTTTCACCTGAAAAAAAAAGGTGCTAAAAACACTAATCATAAATATTACATCGATCGCTGACATAAAAAAACCCAAGAATTTTAACCAAATTTGGGCTCAAATTATGTGAACATCACAGATGCAGATCTGGAGCTTCTATTGATGAGTTTGTTTTGCATCATTTCTCCTTCATAGTGCCAGCTGTTTTCAAGGCATGCAGCAATAAATGACATCATCAGAAGAGGTCTGAATACAGCTGGGTTCCCATCCCAAATCAAACCCGTAGGCTTCAATTTTGGTGATGAAAAGCAGCCAGATTGGATTACCATTTTCCCTTTTAAAATGGGGAAGTTGTTAATTTGGGATGTGACTTGTGCCAATACATTTTTGACCAATAATTTGATCAGATCCATGGTTGAGTCAGGGTCTGTCACACAGGACGCGAAGATAAAAAAAAAATAGATATAAATATCAGACAGATTTAATTTTACTCCAGTGGCAGTGGAGACTTCTGGGGTTATTGGCCCTCGTTTGATAGCGTTCCTTTGGAGGGTTGGTGGGATTGCGTTTCAATTAAGGGATAAGCCTCACGAAACAGAGTGGCTCCTGCAGCATGTCTCACTGGCGATGGTGCAAGGTAATGCTTTCTCCATCACTGCGGCTGGCAGAAGATAGCAAAAAGAAAACGTTTTGTTTTTGTTTAGGGATACTTCAAAATTTCGAACATGCTAAAAAGGATTATTTTAATCTTTCCTCTTATAATAAATATTTTGACGATAAAACTTTGTTTTTATTAAGTTTTGGGGGGGCTTTTTTCTATGTCGTTTTTTCAGCGAACAAGTGGATGTCACAAGGGATTTTGTGATTTCATCGCAAGAGACAAAAAAGAAATTACTACTTTATTGGTGCTAGTTAGTTGAAAATAAAATATGAGTTAGAAAGATAGATTACATTTTTGGATGGTATTTTTAATTTTTTATATTTTGTCGGTAAATTTTTGTTTTTCAAAAACTGAAGTTGCTTTACTGGTCACAAATTATGAATTAAATTTTTAACTTTTTTAATACTTTTTATTTACACTTTTAAAAAGATAGTCGACTCGTACCGACCGTTCAAAACTATTTTTCAAATCAAATTTATCCAAAGGTGCCATGAGTTAAAACTAAAAAAAATAGGGGAGATTTATTTAAGTGGTAGTAAATATTGAATTGTAGTAAAAATTATTTGAAACGCTAAAATGGATTAGACAACATTCATATCAAAATAAAAAAGTAAATAAATTATAAATTTCTAAACTTTTAAAAATAGTTGGCAATATTCCAACTCTTCCTGCAAAAATATCGAAGAAATTATAAAAAATATTGTCCATAATGATTGAAAAATGAAAGTTTTTTTTACTTCAAACAGTGAGTAAAAAATGAATGTATTCGATTTCTTTTTTATTGTAATTTTTGAAACGTTGTTCGAGTATTTTAAATTGTATGATGCAATAAGATTACTATTTCCTAGGTCCAAATGAAATAAAAAAAAGAATCTCCGTAATGAACTTAGCAACGAAATATACGATAGAAATTGTAAGTACGATAGAATAGTAAATTTGTGGAAAACAGGAAGTGACGTTTAAGTCAGACTGTAATAACCGGAAGCACGTGTTTAATTGCCGAAGTGTGGTTTCTTTCTGTACAGTTGTGAAACGAGGCGGAGTTATTTTGAGTTGCTGTAGATTCGTACTGTTACTGTCCATAAACCCTTGGGGAAAAAAAAAAGATCAACATGGCAAAAAAAGAAGTTAGTCCAATGAAAGGTTTTATTGCGGGAGGTGTTGGTGGCATGTGTGTGGTCGTCACCGGTCATCCTCTTGACACAATCAAGGTACGCTAAAAGAAAAAAAAAAGTTCTACCCGAAATCGATTTTCCCTTTTTTATAGTGTTCAATGTTGGTAGTGCATATACTTTTCATGTGTAGTGTACATTTTTAAAGGGTTTATTGGTTTTAAATAGTGTATCAATTCTGACATACACACGTCGCTTCCAATGGGTGTGACAAAGATCACCTGTTAAATGTTTAGTTTGTTAATCAAACAAAAAAACTTTTTTTTTTTTAAAGTGAAACTTCATACTCGGATCAAATGTCTTTTGTTTTGTTAAACTAAAATTATGTTCCGGTTCATTTTATTTAATTACTTTTAGTTTTCCTGGACATTAAAGTTGCGTATAATGATGCGGGGGGGTAAAAGAAATAACATATTTAAAAAATTGGCTTGTACTCTTGGTCACTTCGCACTGGATACAGTAAAAAAAAAACATCTTTCAACGTTTTAACTTTAAGAAGTTAGGAAAAAAGTTCTGCAATGTTTTGCTTAAAGTTACTGTTAAAAAGCAAAAATGTATTTATTTTGGTCTGTGATCTGTTAACATTCTAAATTAGAATTTTTTAAAGAAAACTTCCTGTAACAATCTTTTCCACAAAAGTTTTAAAACCATGGCATAAAATAAAATCTTTAAAAAATAACTGAATTCTCCGTTCAAGATCACATCTATCTACATGTGTAAAAAAAACTAAACAAAGTATTTTTTCTGTGATTAAAATTCATTGTTTTGTTGGAATGAAAGCTTGATTTGTTTTTTGTTTTTTTTAAAGAGCATTTAATTAATTTATTCACAAATGACAATTACTAATTTCATATTTATGTTCATAAAAAAAATAAACTCTTGTTTTTAATTAAAAACTGAACGTTGACAATTAAAAGACTGGGTTTCTGCGCTTTTTGGTGAGTTTTATCGTCTATCGTTCATGGTTTACTACTTCAATTATTAAAAAAGTAAAGTAAATAGTTGGATCCCATTTGTCAACATTTTCAGGTCACTCATATTGTAGGTCAAAATGTAGAACAATTATTTTTTCTTCACTAGTGTTTTACACTAAGACTAAAAAGTCAATGAGAACCTGATTTCGTTTTTCAGTGCAGTTTTTAGACTGAGGGGAGCAGGTAGGAGATAACCTTAATGTTAGCGTTATTTAGGGGGCTGAAAGAAAGTTTAGCTAGCTAGACTGACTATGATAAATTAAGTTTTAAAACGGTTTAAGTTTAAAAAAAATGTAATTTTATGATATGCTCCAGTACAAAAGCGGTCAAAAATGCTAAAGTGAAAAAAATATGTCAAAAGTAAAACTGGGAAAATTAAGTTTTTTTTTTTTTTTTTTTTTTTTCACCGCATTTTTATTCTTTGGGAAGCCGGGTCTAGAAACGTAAAATTTGCTGACGATGATAAAGAAGAAATTAAAAAAAAAGCTGTGGATAGCCAAGCCTGCCTACATTAGGTACGTCCTGAATTTTGGTATCGTTCATTTGCTGTTAGTGTTCACAGCACTGTTCATTAATAATGTTATTATTGTTTAACCGAGATGAATTCATACAGGTAGGTACCTCCACTTTTTCGCATGGATCGTAGGCCCTAATGAGTTTATGACCGTATATTCCCCCAAAAAAAAAAAAAAGAAACCGTCGGACTTTGATCTCTTGGGAATACCAGGTTCTGTAAGCAAAAGCTTGGATATGCAGGTGGTATAACTCGGGACTGTTAATCAGAGAGTCGAGTTCCAATTTGGATTCATTATATTCACTTACGCGAAAATACCCTTGGGAAAGGTATGAATCCACCACTTCTCCCTCCAGCTATGGATTAATTAGTAAGATTTTATTTTTGTATTAAACCATCCCCCCATCCTAAATTAAACAATCTAAAAAATGTTTTCTGGTTCTAAATAACCTGCAAAAGGTTGATAAACTGTAGAAAACGAATCGCTCAATCGAGGAGTTGTGGGTGGGGGGAGCTAAATCAGATGTTCCACGTGTGTGTCTGGGAAGGAGGGGTGAACTAAGCCAGATGTTATGAAAGATTCCTTCTGATCTACTCGTAAAATGAACATTTTTTTTATGCTTATTGATTATCCTAATTATGAACCTTTTTTTTGTTTGTTTTGATGTTGAATACACTTTTATTGTTCACTTGTACTTATTTACTGGAATGAGACCATATATATTTTTATGCATAAAAGATTTATAGAACTTTGTTTTTAGAAGCTAATAATGTTTCAGAAAAGAATAGTTTTTCTGATTTATTTTGAAAATTAATGGCAGTAATGATTTTGTTTGTTAGACAAAAAAAAATAAATGATATACGCTCAGTAGCATTGTCATTGATTATTGAAACCAAGGAGACAAATTTTTGTCTTCTGTTTACTTCTCAGTTCCAGCAAAAAGTGAGGGGGTTAAGCACCTCCAGTCCTCTCTATAATGCACTCTGGTGACAATAAAAATAAATGCAAGCAATATCTTTATCCCTGAAGTATTACAAAGAACAAAAACTGTCTAATTTCTATTAGAACTTTGGTCTAATTTGTAAACTGATCTTGTAAAACCATGCTTTAAATCTATGAACTGCAGGTGTTTTTTTTCCTACCATTTTTAGATTTATTCAAGCAATGGAATTATAAAAAAAATATTTGTACAAAAAATGTGTTGGGTAGATGAAAAAATTAACTTCAAATCTTGTGACAGAAATAAAGTTTGCAAATGAAGATAATTGTACAAGACAACTGCATTTGTTTCAAATAGGATTTACTGTTTGTAAATTGGTTAACTGCTGAATAAAGCTAACACTGATTACTTGCAAAATCACTAGCCTAGTGAACATACAGAAAGATTAATGAAAAGCACATTGTCGAAAGAAAATGCATTTTTTCTTGAAAAAAGGGAAAGAGGCTTCTTGTTTGTACACTTAAAAAATATTTATTTTCTTGGTAATGGTAATATTAGTTGTTTCCTTATAAGGAAATATTCACCATTCATTGACTTTGCAGTTAGTGCTACTGTCAGTTGAAATTTATATAATCTTCCTCTTAAAACAATTTTTTTTAGGAAAGTCTGCTGTTATTGTTCTTTCTAGTATTGATGGGGTTTCCTTCCTAACCTTTTGTTTGAAGTAGTTGTGAAACATCAACATGGCTTACAACCACATCATGTTGAAATGCCAGTTCCTGTATGATCCCTGAACTTAAGCAATGTTAAGCCTAGTCATGACCTAGATGGATGACCACTTGGGAATACGAGGTGCTGTAAGCTTGGATAATGGCTCGGAATTGTTAATTGGAGAGCTGAGTAACAATTACAGTTCAACTAATATCTGTCTAATCTGTGAGTGTGGCATGAGTTCCTTTAAATGCTGAAATATTGAACTATGCTCAGCCAAATAAAATGTAAGCCTTTTTGTTAGCATCCTCGTAGTAACAGTTGAAATGCTTTGAATTTACAGAAACACATATACATACTCACAGACAACTTAACACAGTAAAGATGGTCTCAGATGAGATTGAAAGTACTTGGGGGAAATAAAAGCTACTTGAAAGAAAATTTTGGTATTTTTCATTATCAATTTTCTAAGGCTACCAAGAAATTAATCCGCAAACTTGAAAGGATCACAACAAAAACTAATCAATATATGTCTAAAATATTTAACCAAACCTATTTGAATGAAAATATGCTGCCTATATATATATATAATTATTATTTATAAAAAAAATTATAACATAAGTATGTTATAAAATCACTATAAAAATAGCCATTTTGTTTCAACACCCTCGGTGTCTTATCAAGTGATGATGTTGAAGATAAAATAAATGGTTTTAAAAGTTTCAGATTAATTAATGATCCTACACTAGGGGGAAACATTGTTACAAAAGCTACAATAACCAATCAAAAACCAAGTATAGAAAGATTCAAAAGCTTGACAACGAAATCATGTTATAATAGCTATTCAGATCTTTAAAATACAGGTAATATTAAAATTAAAAACTGGCAATTTTAAAATCTAAATTTAATCACTATTAAGTTTAAAAACTACAAAATTATTGAGAAAAGAAAAAATACATATGTTATTCAATTTATTTCTTCGTTGAAATTATGTTCGACAAGACGCTACAATATATCCGGTCATTTGACAATACATGTATATATATTTTTTATTCTAGAGTGTGTGAATGTGGTCTTAAACTCACGTGCAAAACAACAAAAACACAATCAGATTATAATACATAAGCACCCAGACATATTTATTTATATATATATATATATATATATATATATATATACACACAAAAAAAAAGGAAAAGGGCGACAAGACAGGGACATCTCTACAACCCTTTATGAAAAAAGGAAACGGGGAAACCAACACCTATACACACACACACGCACAATTAAATGTGAATGCACTCTACATACACATAGACACCGATAAATACACGTACACACATCCACAAATAAATATTTAAGACTTAAAGTATCATTAAATAAATGCTAACCACTTATTAAATTATAACTTAAGGGAGCAAATATACAAAGATAAAAATGGTTAAAAATAATATTATTTAATATATCAAAACGAAAATTCCAAAACCACAAATATCAATAAAAATATATTTTAATCATATCAGTTGATAAGTTTCATTTATATATTAGGCGAAGAAAAACAGGATAAAGAAACCCACAGAAATAAGTGTACAGTCATACGCATATACATATATACACACACAGCAGCAAACACAAATTAACACACATAAACATACACACATACATACAGAAATACATGCATATAAATATATAAACATATACGCACATATACATATCTATGATAACAAGTGTCTAACACACATATATATATATATATATATATATATATATATATATATATATATATAATGTGTGTGTGTTACTAGCTCAATAACTGTAAAAAATGACTGGATTATTTATGCATGGATTGGCACATACAAGATTGTTTAAAAAATTTTATTTTTTTTTGTTTTGTATCAGGATTTTTAAAACCTTTGGGGATGAAATTTTCTAAAGACAAATTCAATTTGGGTGGTAGATGAAATTATATTTTGAATGTGTTCCACAAAAAAAAAGAAAAAAAGTTAAGCTCAGTCCTGGAGATTTTAACCCCTGGGCATTATCTCCCCATTACATTATAATGTGGCAGGGTATTCTAACATTAGTTGCAGGGATTGGCCTGTTTTTATCTTTTCTTACATTCCCATGTTAAAATGACTTGGTATCATATTCTATCCCTATGGCAGGGGATATAGGGTCTAATTATGCTTGGTGTGGGGAAATGTTGTACATATAAAATTTTATGTATGTGACTGTCAGTTTTAGACAAATATTCATTATTTATCAAATAAGCAAATATGGTGATTAATGTTTTGATCGTTCTTATACACAGATTGTGCTGGCCTTGAGTTTTTATTTTTCATTTGTATCTGTTTAATGTGATGTAAATATTGAGGAAAAATAAAAATAGTTTCTCTTTGAATTTCTGGTATGAAAAGTTATTGTTGACAGTTGAACTAACATCCTACTCTTTGTTTTTATGTTAATATTTTGGCCATTGTGCTCTCCAGCCTTCTTCAGGTGTCTGTAAATCTGGGGAACCTTCAGGGAATTTTGAACTGAACCCTTTATTTAGTTTGTAGAGTGAGGAGTCACAGTTAAATGCAAATAAATGGCAGAACTGCCCAATAAACAGAATTGACATTGTTTGCAATAAACAATAAGGAGTAAAAGAAAAAAAAGAACAGGTAAAAAAATAATACAAAGCAAACAGACAATATATGCAAGGTAAAGCAACAGTAATATGGCAAAAAGTTCATTAACTAAGAATTAGGGTTGACATACAAGTGAATTTGGATGATCAGGACTTTCAAATGACATCAACAAGTGACCTATCATTGGCTAGGAAGAAATCCCAGCATGCATTTGTGTGGTTCTGTCTATAAATTGGGGTGGGGTTGGTTTTGCAGTCATTCCTTATTGAGATTGGAAGCAACACAGTTAATGAGGGTAGATCATTCTCATTCTGCTGTCCATGTCTTGTAACGCCTTGTCTTTGTTAATTGTTCAGCTATTGTTAATCCTGTTTCAACTGAGTCAATCTGTGGCATGATAATTGAGAGTTCAATCCCTGGGCTGGGTAGTACACTTATGCTTCCTAAAAAGAATATATGTATGTATATGATAGTTTAAACCAGTGATTATCAACCTCTCCCTTTTTTTTTTTTCTCCTTTGGGGGTGGAGTGCATGCCCTAATTAAGCATCTCTAAAATCCTGATGCCCCCCCCCCTCCATGGCATATAATTCTTATTATTCAAAAAGTGCACTCCAGTTCACATAAAGGAAAACATTAACTTTCCTTAAGAACTTTATGCTGCGGGTATGCAATAGTATTATCATTTAATTTTAGAATTTATATATATATATATATATATATATATATATATATACACACACACACGCACACACTTTTTATGTATGCATACTGTATATGCACTGTATGTATTAACTCACTCTCAGGTTCACTAAAAAAAAAAAAAATTCACTGTTAATAACTCGTTCTTGAATTGCCCTCCTTAAAAATCAAATTCCTCTACATTGGGAACTATGGTATTAAATATTTGTTTTTTGTTTTTTTTCTTTCTTTTTTTTATATAAATACAATATGAAAAAGGAAAAATTTGTGCAGCATATTTACCTCCTTACTATAACATGGAGGCAGGAATAAAAAAATGGGGAGGGGAAAGATATTTAATCCTTGCACTATTTATATTAGGACTATTGCCCTCATCTTTATCACAATATTTCAGTTGTTGTGCCCTCCAGCTTACCCCATGTGTGTAGCGATCTGGGTAACCTACAGGGAATTCTGAATTAAACCCTTTATTTAATCTATGGGTGTAGACTGTTCTTATCTGGCAATGTAGTCTCGTTCTTATTTTTATTTAATATTGTTCAGTTATTATTCTGTTTCCACTGAGTACACACTGCTCGACTCAGGGATCAAACTCGCAACCATTATGTCATTAAATTAACAAACTAATGCCTTTATCAACTAGGCTATTGTCCACTCCGGTGGATAATTCATCCTAGAAAGTCAGACAGATAAATTTAATCATATTTTTTTTATTTTTAATAGTCAAAGTCCTGGGATGAATGAAAAATATAATATAGGGATGCTTAGTTGTTTTTATTTATTTTTCAATCAGCTTACAACCATATTGTATTGAAATACTAGTTTTCATATGATCATAGAAGTTAAGCAACTTCGAGCATAGTCATTACCTAGATGGGTTACTGCTTGGGAATAACAGATTATGTAAGCTTGTTTGAGTAGTGTAATGGATAAAGGCTTGGAATTGGAAATCAGAGAACTAAGTTTAATTCCAGTTGAGTTCGTTATATTCACTCATGTGAAACTATTTTTGGGAAAGGTATGAATCCACCTCACCCCCAGCTATAGTTTAATTAGTAGGATTGTTTCAGTAAAAAAACACATCTATTGTTTTTTTTTTTTTTTTTTTTTTTTTTTTCAATTTAATAAAAATCCTGGTACTTGATTACTTATTTTTGTCTAAAGAATTTCTTTTTTCTAATCAGGTACGCTTGCAGACAATGCCGAAACCGTCCCCGGGAATGGCGCCATTATATAAAGGAACTTGGGACTGTGCTATGAAGACTGTTAGAAAGGAGGTAAACTTTTTTTTTTTTTTTTATTATTATTATTATTATTTAAAAAAAATTGAATTTTAATGTATGTAAATGTTGTAAGACTCTCTTCTGGAGTATCAAGCTGCAGTTTTGCTATGCTAAGTATTTCTCATGTGGTTTCTGTAGCAAGTAGATTTTTATGTAATAGAGTTGCTGCCTCACAACCAACCAGTTTTGAATTCAGAGCTATCCTTCTCCTGGGCTGGTTATCACCTGAGGCTAGAGATTCTAATCTGTTCTGCCCTGCTATTAACTTGCTGGTCATGGAAAGTGATGGATTCATATCTTTCCAAGGGTATTTATATAAAAATGAATGCAATCGCCTTAGTTAGAATTTGAACTTAGCATGCTTATCTTGCTTTTCATTCCAATGACCACTGTGCTATGTATGCATTTTTTTTTTTTTTTTTTTTTTTTACTGCCGCTAATTTACATACCTTGGGGAAGGCCTATGTTCTGCAGTGGATTGAGAAAAAGGTTTTGATTTTCTGTTCAGCATTTAAGAAGTTGTGAAGTTGTGTTCCAGTTGAAATGAAAAAGATTTGTCACCACATAAATTCATAAGAATCTGGATTTATAAATTTTTTTTCTTGAGAATTCACAGAAATGTTAAACACTATTAGGCTGTTTATTTACAAGAATAATTTTGCAAAGATTAACAAATTGGGAGGAAGAAGTCCTCTCTTTATTACAGAGAACATCATGCAAATTTTTGTTCCACTTCAACCAATCACTGATTTCCTAACAAAGTGAGGAAGGGGTAGTTTGTGACCTATGAACTACAGATTTCTAACTTTCAACTTGTGGAATTTTGTTTATTTTGCCACTTCTAGAACTCTTCAACTACACAAATGTTCCCAGAAAAAAGAAGCAGTGTATAGTAATAGGAGTGTCAAGATAAAGAAAACATCCTTTTGGCTCACTATTTCTGTGTGTATGTTTGTTAAACATTGCCAAATTTTCATTGTACCTCCATCTTTGTTTCGTCTTTTTATTTAATGCCATGTATATTTCCTTTGGGTGGTGTAATGGTTAGCTTCAGAAAATGTAAGAGGAGGCTAAGTTCAGATTTTATCTGAGGTTGTTTCCTGTTCACTTCATACCAATGCCCTTGAGAAAGGCATGAATCCATTTCTTATGCCATTAGCTCTGGGCAGACTTGGCTCTCTAATCTCTTTAAGGTAGCCAGCCAAGAAGACCAATTTCTAAATTCAAAACTGGTGAAAGCAATAGAAACTAATCCACCACATTTTCCAAAAACAATCGTGTCAATGCACAATTTACAGACATTAAACATAATCGCCTATGTCCTGATGGATAGTATATCTAGAAAAATACTTGCTTTGGTAGTACTAAAATTGGCATGATTTCAGCATGTTCAGGTTGCTTAATGGTTAATGGAAAGGAATGTAGAATTGATGAACAGTTCAAATTCTTGCTTTAGCCTTTGCTAAAAAGGTTAAATAGCAGGGTGGAGTGTTCTTTCTAGCCTTGGATGGCAGCCAATATAAAAGGAAAACACTGAATTCAAAAACGTGGGAAAGCTAACTGGGGAAACTATTTCACTATTTTTCCCATGAAATCACGGCAGTTCATTTATAAACAGAATCTGTTTAGAGCAATGATCACCGACATCTTGAAGAAAAGTAGCATTTTAAAAAAAAAAAAATTGTTCTCAAGGGGCATAACTCTTTATAATGTATTTAACATTATTAAATGTAATACATATGGGTTGCATCCCTTTGACTATTTGTGCTAAAATATGGAAAAATAGTTTCTACAACACTTTTTTCTGAGAATAGATTTTTTAAAAATTCTGACTTCTTAACAGTTAATAATGAAGGTGGATATAATAATTTTAAATTAGAAGTTAAGTCTTTCTTACATAATAACCCTATTCTGAGTAACTTTGACCTTGAACACTGTTATCCTGATTTCTTGATACATGACATACAAATTTGATGCTGAATGTTCTTGAAACAAATTTTAGCTCAAAAATTATAAAATTTGTTGTTTTATCATTGTAATCTGTTTTCATACTCTATCAAACGTATTTTGGATGTGTATGTATAAAATGACTGAAAGTGGTGTAGTGGCAAAGTCAGTGGGAAGTCTTAAGAAAACCTAATTTAATATACCAAATTCAAATGAAGTCAGTCCTACAATACATACAATTGTGATGTTATATTATTGTTGCTGTTGATTTTTTATTTATTTTTTTTTACTTCATTTTCATCGTGTCTCCCTTTAACACTTCACAAAATTTTAGGCTAACTTATTTGTAGATGTTTTCCTTCCTCAGGTGAATTTTAAATGTGTTTTTTTTTTCTCTATCATAAGTTAACTCCCTTCGTTTTGGTGTAACATTTTTTTCTGTTGGGTATCGGGTCCTTATGTAAGTTAATCTGGCAGGGTTTCCTGATACCAATATACATGATGACTCCTTTTCACTTTTTTTCAGTGTGACTTTTCTATTCATTATAACCGAATTCCAGAAGTAATCATTTTTATTTTATTTTTCTTTCTCTGTTATCCACCAGATGACTTATTCATCAGTGCTGCAACATTCTATAATCTCTGGAGTGGGTGCAGTGGTTTAAAGATATTTATTTAATAAAATTTGTTTGTGAGATCACAAGTTTCAGCAGAAACTGGGTGTGTGTTTTGATAGATCAATATGTCAGCTGCATAATGTTAGGTGAGGAGAAAAGTATTTACTTTATTCAAGAAATATTTTTCCCTTCCTTGTCAATGCACTTAATTCATTGGTGTATATTAATCACATAGAACTAATTTTTTTCTTTTTTATAAAAGGAAAATTTCAAATCAAAATTCAGTTAAGTATGTGTTGGGCTACAAATTTATTGATCCACTTTCATAATATACACTTGTGTGTGTGTGTGTGTGAACAAGATTAGTTTTCAAAATATACAAACATACACTCAGGAGGAAGCACCAATAGAGGGGCTTATTTTCCATGAAAACAAAAAAAACTGGCAAAATAAAAATTTTGTCTTTATTTTATTTCTTTTTCCTATCAAACATAGTGATTGAAGTGGGAGTGCAGTTTTTTCAGAAAGCGAAATTTTATGAATTAGACTTTTTCAAAAATTTTAATAATTTTATTTTCTTTTTTTAATAACATTTATATATTGTTACACTTTTTCACTAAGTATTATAATAAAGCAAAAACAGAATTCTATACTGAAAATGGGGGAAAATGTTTCATTTTCAGATGTATTTTTTTTATTTGTTTTAATATATTAAGAAACTGAAGCATCTTAAAGTACCCAAGTGGTAACTAAGACCAATACCATCAGTTAACAACTAGACTCATTTCAAGCTCAGAAAAGCATAAAAAGAATCAATATCAGTATATAAATACGTCTGTAGCTTATTTTTTTAACATTGTTTTGGGCATGTTTATTCATCCTTGTCTGAAAAAGACACTTTTTGGTTTCTAGTTATTGATCTTAGCTTCTAACAAGACTTAAAAAAAATGTCATTGTCACTAAAATTTGATGATTGCATCAAATTGTGTGCTTTGTGAATGTTAAGTTCATTCAGATAAAAACATGTAAGAATTGTCATTGTAGAAAATTATAATACCAAAACAAATGAGAGAACTTGAGCACAAATTCTTTTTACTAAGAATATCTTGGTATGGCACAAGGCCAAATGAAAAGTAGATGATTGAGGCAATAGGCTTCCAAATGAAAAAAATATCTGCCTCACAAGGAAATCCCTATTTGAAATTTCAGTATTATTTCAATCATGAGGCAAGCTATGTGTAAATACTCTTCACTGTTTGAATTTTTTTTTTTCAAAATCATCTTTTTTTTTTCCTTTTTTGTGTTAGAACAACAAGCTGGATAGTGCATCTGGTGCAACTTGGTTAGCCTATCAATACAATTCTATTTGAAGACGTGACACTTGACAAATTTGCATAGAACATTTGTGGTGCAAATTGAGCTGCATAGGAATGGTACTGCTTGCTTATTGACAACACAGCAGATCTATAGTTACTACACTGAGTATATAAGACTGTGGAAGTTAAAAAGGTTGTTTGTGTATTTTAAGTGTGTGTGTTCACATGTTAAACAAAGAAGCAACTTGTTTTTCTTCTATGGATGTTTATTCCTTTTATGGTGACTGTAGTGGAACAAAGTTCTCAATGTCTCTTGGGTATGTCCGTTTTCTTTTTTGGTTCAGAAGTAAGTTAAGATAACAATGGTCAAGCTCAAGTCAGCCTTGTGCTGAGTTGAAATGACCAATTCACTTACTTCATGAGTAGGATTGCCAAAACATGTCTGAACGATGTTGTTGCAAAGTGGAAAGAAAGATTCTGTCCTTTCCAGAAATAGTCATAAAATTGTGCATGTGACAAAAACCCTTTCTGGTTTCTTTATAGCTGAGGAAAAGGAATTTATTTATTTTATTCTTTATTATTTTATTTATTGGTTCTATTTCATTTTCCCATAAGACACAATTTGAGGTGGCCACAGATGTTATCATTTTTGCCATCAGGTGCAAACAGAACATTGTTGCTGTGATGTGCAACCACTGATAGGTAATTGCAACTCTTAATACATTTTCAAATGCAATTTCTTTTTCTTGTTTAGGGATTTTTTGGTTTATACAAAGGAATGGCAGCTCCATTAGCAGGTGTAACTCCAATGTTTGCAATATGTTTCTTTGGTTTCAATGTTGGCAAAGAATTGCAACAAAAACACTCAGGTGATAAGCTCAGGTAAGTAATATAAATTTAAATTGGGACCTCTCAAGACATGTAATTTTTAATTACATGTCTTGAGAGGTTATTAATTTAATATTAAAATACATAAAATAAAAATAAAATATGCCTTCAATGTGGAATTTGTCCCAAAACTCAAGTCACCCCAATGGGACATTATTAACTCTTCCGCTTGGTTCATAGTTTTGCATTCCTATTTCTTGAGTTGGTCAAAATTTCTTCAATCTTACTATTATAATTGTGCTTGTCATTCTCTTTATTAGTTTGCATGACTGTTATGTTCTGTCAATCACTTCATAAATAATGGACTATTCTGTTTTTATCTGTTGGGAAGAGTGGAAAAAACACTATTTGGTTTCAATGAGAAAATGAAAGAAGAGAAGGTAGAGAATCAGATTAAGGTGATAAGAATAGTTACTACACTTTGATCCTAGCTGAAAAACCATGACGACTGTGATAAGTGTCATTTTTCAGATGCATAGTATTAAACAACAGAGTAAGGTAATTGCCAAAAATCCAGTTACCATAAATAAAAGAACAGCGTCTGATGAATTATTTTAAAATTATTAAGAGAAATGTTCATAAAAAAGGGATTTGGCTTGAAAGAAGGAAGAAAGGGAATAAGTGTTTAATGTCGGCTACCAATACCTTATAATATTTCGTTTTGATTGCATGACACAAGGAGAAAAGACACTACTTGCTTTCAATGAAATGGAAAAAGTAGTTAATTTCAAATCTTTTCATTTGTACCACCTTCTTAAAAATAATGACCAGCATTCATATTTATGATTGTTGTTGCAATATTTTGTTAAAGTTGTTAAGCTCGAATATTTAATGATGTGATAGGAAATTTCAACAGATATTTTATTGCTGTAGCCATGACCTTACTCAATTATTAACTTATATTCATGGGTCTTTCTAGTTTTGTTTATTTCTGTAAACACTTTCTCTTTGTTTAAGCATTTTAATCTCCACCCCATATTCTGTGATTGTGTTTCTACTTGCATGTCATGACTAATGCTTATTGGGTTTGTCAATCAATAATTTGTTTGAAATTTTCTTTTTCTCACACATTCTTATTGCAGCTATTTGCAATATTTCAATGCTGGTCTGTTGGCTGGTGTAATGACAACAGTAATTATGGCACCTGGTGAGCGAATAAAATGTTTATTACAGGTAAGATTTTATTATTAGTAGTATTAGGAGAAGATAGGTTTGCCTATCGTCCACTTTACACTCCTCCCTAGTCTTTTTGAATTGGAGTAGAGGTTTATCTCTTGTTCCCTGCTTAGGATTGGGTTTCCAGTTCCTTCTAAAGTTTTTTTTTTTTTTTTTTTTTTTTTTTTTTTCATTTACTTTCACTCCTAGTAGCCTTTGCATCTTAGTGACATTATCACCTTGCTTGCAGTGAACTGATTTTTTCCCTATTTATTGAATCTTGAATTTTGAAAAGCTTATTGCAATATTTGCAACAATGTGGCTTGAGTTCAGAAGCCCTGTGTAAAATGTCAGCTTTAAACATGGTCCAGTGAAAGCAAAGCACATGATAAATTTGAATGATTCATGTATATTTATGATTACATAGTCATTGATAATAAATAGGAACAAAATGGAAATGGCCAACTAATCAGTATAGGACTGAAATAGTGTCAATGTCAGATTTTGCTAGAGCTCTTTTATGCAGTCAGGGTGATTAAATAAAATGAGTTTCATCCTTGTATAAGTTGTATTTGAATGGTCCTACTACTAAAGATTACAATCATTTTGCTTGATAGTAGTTTATTTGTTCGCAAAATATGATTTTCCAATAGGGTTTGTTTTTTGGGTTTTTTTTAAAGTCATCACTGGCGTTTTATAGCATCAGACCCACTCCCCAGTTTGTTCCAATCAGAGCTGATCACACCCTTATTCACCTTTCAACAACTGGATACCACTTCATACACCTCCATTTCTGCTTTGGTAGCTTGAGTGATTTCAAAATTTTGTTTTAGTGACCTCATCACCAACCACTTGTTGTTGACTTACAGCCATATCACAATGAAATTCTGGTTCTTGTATGATCACTGAAGTTCAGCAACATTGAGCTTGATCAGTAAGATGGGTGACTGCTTGGGAAAACCAGGTGCTGTAAGCTTGGATGCACAAATAACATAATGGATAATGGCTCAGAATTGGAAATCAGAGCTGAGTTCCAATTCCAGTCAGGTTTGTTATATTCACTTATGTGCAAATAACCTTGGGGAAAAGTCCACATTCTCCCTCTAGCTATGGGTTAATTAATAGGGCTTGTATCAGTAAATCATTATCTACCAAAAAATTCTTACTCTACAAATGTTTTAAATAACCTGCAAGGTGTTAAAACATAAAAACAAATCAAACAAAATCAATCAATTGTTGTTGCTTTGAGACGTGTTTATTACAATTACTACTGTAAGGATTGGCCTGTCCATAATTTAATTTCACTTATTTTTTTTCCTTTCTTTCTTTCTCTTGGTGGCTAGATTATTTTAGTTTAAAACTGTAGATCTTAGTAATATGAGTACATAATGAATTTTGCCAAAAAACGTTATGAAACTATTTATTAACATGATACTGGGTAAGGTTCTTGGTGGAAAGTGTCTTGTTCATCTTTTTTTTTTTTTTTAGATTCAAGCTGACTCTAAAACGGCTCCCAAATACAAAGGACCTCTTGATTGTGCTGCCAAACTCTTCAAAGAAGGTGGTATTAGGAGTGTCTACAAGGGTACAGGTGCTACACTATTGAGAGGTAAAGAATTACTTTCAGTGTGATATATGATGGTTCATGAATTGTGAATATTGTATACATTTTAAGATGTGAAACAAACATGTAAAACTGACTACTTTATATTTGGTTTTTAAAAAAAAAATTAAGAATTTGGTTTTGATAGAAAAATTTAAATTGGCAGTTATTTACAATTCATCTATATGGATATATATGTTACATCTGTATGGAAAGGAGGCTTGGAAGATAAGTATCCATTCTTCTGGTTGATTTTATTACCTACACTTCTCATCTTCACCAAATGTTATAGTGAAGTTTCACTCGTCTTTCAACCTGTTAGCTAGTGAGTTTGATCCTCACTGGCTACCTGTTGTGATTCTGTGCCATACTGAGTTTAGAGTCCCTCTACCCTTTTGCATTTTGTACTTTTATTTTCTCCATCGTGTGAATGTTAAATGTCTTTTATTCTCTGAAGGTATCATGCTTTCATTAGTTAACTCCCTTTACTGTAAAATCTTTTCCAGTTAAAACATTTATCACTCTGGGTGTGACTTCATTTGCTGTACAAAAAGTTTTACCTGCCACTGAAGGTGACTCTGATCCCTGAACAATAGTATGTTTGAATTTAATAGTTATATTGTCATATCCTGCTATGGCAACAGAAAACAACTTTGAGTGAAATTAACAATAAGGATACTGCTGCAATTGAGAAGCCTTGAAAAAGAATACAATAGAAAGGGATTAATATTAATAATGCAGAGTGCTAAAGGTTGTGCAAGTTACTCTGGTAGGATTCCCTGATAGGAGTATATGTGCTGACATTATTTTTCAGTGTAATTCTCTATTCATTATAACTGAATTCTGGATGTGATAGGCATTTTTATTTTTTTATTTCAATGTGATCCACCAGATGACTTAGTGTATTATTTATTTATTTTAATATTAGGAATTTCAAGTTTTTAAAACTTTAAGTTTATAAATTTAAATGCTTAATTTGATTCACAAAATGCCAAATTAAATTTTGTGAGTATAGTTCTGCATTAGAAATTTAAAGTTGGAATAATGCTTCTTTTTTTTTTTTTTTTTGCTCTTTCTAACTAACTCTGAATCCCCTGTTTTTAAGTCTGTAGGAGAAATAGTAGTACAAGTTTCACATAATGATGGATCCTATTTTTTTAGCACTTCAGCATTTTTAATACCAAGTCATAAGTTTTTCTTTTCTTTTCTCTTCCCCCCCAGATATGCCTGCTTCTGGAATGTATTTCATGAGTTATGAATGGATGCAAAATATGCTTACCCCCAAAGGTGGAAAGTAAGGAAAACTTTCTTTTTTTTTTTTGTGTGTGTGTGTGTGCAGAAACTTTCAGTATTTTTTAATATTAAATCATTTCACCCTGAACAAGACAATAAATCCACTAAGACGCAAGAGGTTACTGAGTGTTAGAGAATGTGAGGAAAAAAAATCATTATTAAGGAGAAAGAACAGGAATTAAGAAAACGAAAGATAACAATTGACATTGCATTTAAATATTTGAAGATCAAAGTTGACTAAAAAGCAAGGAACTGGAAGAGTTCCACAAGTGAGAAGTGCAAGTGAAGAAACTATTAGCATAGAACTTGCAATTGCATCTAGGCATTTCAGTGGTAAAATAATGAAACCTTCTCACCAATCTAGTACTGTACTGAAATTCATAAATTCTATGTACCATAGAGGAAAGTTCATCAAAACAATTATCATGAAAATATTTATAAAAAAGGCACAGGGAAGCTATGTTATGGCGACATGAGAATAACTGAAGCCAAGATGCCAGGTCAGGATAAATAAATTATTTCAATTTTAACCCTAATAGTGTCATTGTTGGGTAATGTTTTTAGCAAGTTTCTAATTTGTAGTGAATTCGATCTAAAGTGAAATCTCCATACATATGGTCTTGTCAGAATTAGGCTAAACTTAGAAAATACGTTTCCTACATCTATTGTTCAGAAACTAATGTCCAATTTTAAAATCCATTTTTATTCCTGAATTATTTAAACTTGTTTAAATTAGTTAAACTAGGAACCTTCAACATCTAAACATTTCTGCCATCAAGTTACAAGTTTATTTATGCCTTTATGATAAAACACTAAAGCTTTATCCATTCATTTCAATTTTCTCTTTGTTGGTCTATTCATTATGTATGTCAGTCTGTTCATTGTGTGTCTCTTCTACTGTGTGTTTAGTCTCTTGGATTTTTTTTTTTTTTTTAAACAAAACACTCCTGGGAACTTTGTATACTCTGTATGGCATGAAAAACATATTTAAATATTATGTTAAACAGTAAGATAAAAACTTGGTAGTTTACCAGTTCCACCCCTCTCTTATAAAACAAAAATACTCAATTGAGGATAAAAAAAAATATCTACAAAAAAAACACAAAATATAAAGTTTAGTACCATACAAAGAAAATTTTAGGTGCAAATCACATTAAAACTAAGCAGCTATTCCTTCTGTTTACAAAGGGAAGGCTGCCTAGACTTTATAAAATTTGTTTCCAACACTTTAAGCTGAAATTTAAAATGTAATTGGCACAGCATAAGGAACGTTTTCTCAATATGAAAAAACACACTATTAGGTGCTCTGTAATTGCAGACCCAGAAGCAACTGACTCAATCAGCTGTGACCTCTCCTGATAAATGCCAGAACATGCTGTGAAATTTGCCTCTCCTAGAGTTGAGTTGTCCAGCCTACATATTCAGTATTGTATTGACGTTTCAAAGAATAAATAATAGAAGCAGTTTTGAAGCTAAGCAACAATGGCCAAGACAAGAAAATCACTCGTGGACTAGCAGAAAAACAAACTTGAAGTGGATTGGTATAATTGTAAACTAAGCAACATTTTTTTTTTCTTCCTTCTATAAATTGTAGAAGAGGACAAAATTTGAGGTTTTAATGAATTGTCACATATCTTTTTTTTTTTTTTTTTTTTATATAATATGGGGCTTACTACTCAAATATTATTTTACAGTGAGGTGTGAAAAGTTATATACTCTTTATAGTGATTTACTAAGCATTCTGTTTTTTTTTTTTTTTTTTTTTGTTTTTTTGTTTTTTTCCTAGAACAAAAAAACAAGTATGGGGCACCTGAGGTAGTATTAAACTCACTATAGTATTAATGATTTTTAAGACTAGCTTGCCAACCACTATACTAAACCTGCCATTTGTTAGCAATATTTAGAACAATAATTTTAAGAGACAACGCACCTAATGACTGTATGGCCTAGTCTGGTACAAGGCTGCAGTAGCTTGCAAGAATAGCTTAATATCCATTATTTTATCAGAGGATCTTAAAAAAAAAAAAATCTTTTTTTTTTTTTTTCCTTGACACCACTAGTATTTATCACTCCTGTGGAAAATTAAAACACAGTAATCTGAGATGTAAAATAATATAAGAAATTGTATAATGTTCGGAAAAAAATCATGTTTACTTAAATTTTCTTGTTCTATACTTCATAGATATACATTTATAAAATTATGAATAAAAAAAACACTTGTTTTCACATTTATTTATAAAATGATAAATAATATATATTACATTGTCGTTGATTCACATATTTTAATAATCTTGTAACTAAACATAGCCGAGGGAATCAAAAGTATATGTCTTAATAGTAGTGTCAAAGGAATAACTGTCCTTTTGACACACCGTTTTTTAGTGACCACGAAGTTTAAACATTGTTCCAGAATCTTATATTGTTTTATTATTGTTCCAGAAGTTATATTTATTACCTTATTTTGCTACTCGTTTTTAATTATTTTTTAAAAATTCTCTCCCCTTGCATTATTTTCTTTGCAGTCGTAATGACTTAAGTCCCTTGAGGACGCTTGTTGCTGGTGGAACAGCAGGAATATTTAATTGGCTTGTTGCTATTCCTCCTGATGTTCTCAAGTCTCGGTATCAGACAGGTAAGTACGTTTATTTTGAATCAAAATAAGTTTTTACACCTTCATTTGAAAGGTGCATCTTTTTCCAAAGGTCTTAAAAATTTAATTTTTCATTAAATTCATCAAAAGTGATTAAGATGATCTTCCATTATATATATTCAACTACTTTTGATTATTTCCCATTGCCCACCTCTTTTTGCTGTAAGAAGCCAGGATTTCAAAAAGCTGATTTTTCAAGACTGAAAAATTTTAGGCAAGATGATCTACCTCCTTAATTCTACACCAATTTACCCTTTAGGGTTGCTGCTATTGTTTTTTTTTTTCTTGTTAGGCTATGTCTTTGCAGGTGATCACGACTCTTTGCAGGTGATCACGACTCTTTGCAGGTGTTCCTTTTCTTCATTATTTGTAAATTACTATGCATTCTTTGGAAGAATAGGTTTCAATTTCAGATACATGGTATGCACAAAAATTGGGGAGGACCCAGTGTACGCTCACAAAGTAATGAAAAGTGAAATACCACGATGGCAAAAAATGCAAACCTGAACCTTGTTTTTAATATATTTGGTTATTTATTCACAGATTCACCTAACTTGGTCTTAAGATTCTAGATAGGTGCCTTGGGCATCTTTGTTACTGCTTCCATCTTTTCTCATGACAAACTAATGGAGCAGAACTTCTCTTCAGCAAGAGCTTTAAATTTCTTACCACGCCTCTGCCCATCTCTGTCATGATGTGTGGCTTGCAACTCTCTAAAAGGTGGCCCAGAGCTGAATTTTCTTGCTGTGATTCTGTCTATGACCAGAACTTTCTAAATTCCGGTTAAGTGGCACTTGACCTTTAAAAGTTTTTATTTATTAACTCCACTTCAGCTAGCAGGTATCCAGTCAGAAACCTTAATTACAGAGTTTACTACCTATCATAAAACTTGACCTAGTTAAAATCATTCACAATTCACCTGACATTGTCTCTGAAGCCAATTCAAACAGGGATCTATTCTGTCTCACTTTCATCCAGGTTTTATTGCATTTTATTATGACTATCAGAACATTTTTTCTACAATTTAAAAAGGTAGCAGGGCTTATGCTATATCACATTAAAACATTTCTTCTTGTATGATTGCTGAAGTTAAGCAACATTGAACCTGGTCAGTACCTACATAGATGACCGTTTGGGAATATCAGGTGCTGTAAGTGTAGATGTGTAGGTGGTGCAATGGATAATGACTTGGAATTGAAAATCAGAGAGTTAATTCTAATTTACCTCTTCTACTGTTACCTGAAGGTTAAATAATAGGACTCAGATCAGTAAATTATTATTATCAGGGAAAATATTCTCCTAATCTTAAAATATTTTATGGCTTTAAATAACCTGCAAAAGGTTGATAAGCCATAAAAAACAAATCAATCAATCTAGTTAGAACTGCTGTAAGACACCTAATATATTCAGGGTTATTTATCTACATACACAGATCCTCTTGGGAAAGGTATGAACTTACCCATTCTTCCCCACTATCAGCTATGGGTTAATTAGTAGGAACTGTATCAGTAAAATCATTATTACCTCTTAAAATTCTTACAATCTAAAAATATTTTCTGTCTTTAAATAACTTGTAAAAAGTTGATAAGCCATAAAAAACAAATCAATTGATTAAATAGGCAGCACAGATTGGACACAAAGAATAAACCACTTACCCAATCACATATGTAAACACAATAGAAAATTAAAAAGGTGAATGAATTCCTTTGCTTGTAAGATAACATTGATTAAATGTACACTTCTTTTTTTTTTTCTTTTTTTTTTTTTCTTGTTGTGGAATATAGCTCCTGAAGGAACATATCCCAATGGGATTCGAGATGTATTTCGTCACCTGATGAAGGAAGAAGGAATTCTAGCAATGTACAAAGGAGTAACACCTGTCATGTTGAGAGCATTCCCTGCCAATGCAGTAAGTAATTTATTGCTTCTTATATCTGGTGACATGAGAATTGTCATGAGATTATTAATAGTTACATGAATAGATCTATAATTTATATAGTAATCCTGTATACTTGAATTTCATACTCTAAATTCATGACTTTATTAATAGCAGTATTATTGAGATAGGCCAATCTCTCGAATTCATATTCTATATTAAGCAAATAAAGTTGATTATAAATTTTCAGATTAGGTAAGACTTTTTATTTGCCTCAATATGAGTTAAAAATGGATGAGCTTGTAGTACTTCCTGCATATTTTAAATAAAGATTGTATATTAGAGAATATCTGAAAATGGACAATATGAATGAACACAAAAGGAAATCTTAGCTGATATGTTTTGCCCTCTGAGGGATTTTATCAAGGCAAAAATAAAATCCTTGCATTTGCTTTGATAAAGTCTCTTTTTCTTTTTTTTTTTTTTTTTTTCTTTTTTCAAATCGGTATCACCCCATGCAAGGCAGTAAAGATCACTAAGACACAAGGGATTACAGGTTGTGGAAAAATTAAGAGAAACATTAATGATGAACAGGAAGAGTAATCAGGAAGACAGTAGATAGTGATTGGCATTGCATTTAAATTTTTGCAGATTAAAGTTGGCTGGAAAGCATGGAACTGGAAGGGATTTCCGTAAGTGAAAAGTGTGAAAAAAAACCCCAAAAAACTGTTAGCATGAAATTTACGGTTGCATCTAGCCAGCTCAACTCTAAATTGATGATATCTCTACACCAGTCTAGTACTGCGTTTAAATTCAAAAAGTCTAGGTACCATCGCAAAGGACTCATTCAAACACTTACCATGAAAGTATTTATAGAAAAGGCACAGAGGCATCCTTATAGCAGTGGAAAAGTGACTGAAGCTGAGCCACCATTATATATGATATAGCAATCATTATCAACAATGTATTATTTACTAGCAGTAGAGCTCGGCGTTGCCCGGGGATGTAACGGTAAGAGATAGATCAAGTATCGACCATCATAAAGACTGAAAAATAAAATTGACAAAGATTATTGTTTAAGGTTGACGGACACACGACTTAATTAGTTTTCTTTTTTTTGTTTTTTTTCTTTTTTTTGTTTTTTTTGTTTTTTTACGAATTGGTCCTACCCAAACTTGAACAAAAACATTGTTTTCAATTGTTATGAGTCTACTGATTGAATAGAATTTTATTATAAACAATTGTCTTGTAAATGGAATTTTTAAAGCATTCTGAATGGGGGAAAGTAAAGAAAAAAGTGTGCAAGACAATAAGAAACACTACCTGCCAAAAAAAAAGTGAAGTTTTGTTGAAATCGGTTGAAAAATGTAGGAAATCCGATCCCATATATAAACGTACAGACACACACACACACACACACAACCTGGGTTTTATAATAAGTACGATTTTGGATTTTTTTTTTTTTTTTTTTTTTTACTAATTCAATCTTAAATGACTTTTCACTGTAATCTTTCATTGTACTTATTAGTTACAATCTTTCTTTTTTTTTCTTTTCAGGCTTGTTTCTTGGGCTATGAAGTAACTGTTAAAATATTGGATTGGCTGGCACCAAACTTATAATAAAGATCCCACCCCTTTTTTTTTTTTTTTTTTTTTTTTTTTTTCAAATCCAAAATCTTACAAGTTCTGCATCTTTCTATGAAAGATTTTGATGGCAAATCCTGAAGCAGTAATTTTTTACAACTTATTTTTATTAACATTTTATAACCTGTTAATTTTTTTCATTGGCTGTCAGATGGCACGCAATTATCATTAAACCCAATCATGTGATCATTTTATAAATTGACTATGCTTGCAAAAAAAAAAAAAAAAAAGAATCAAGTTAAAATGTAGATGAATGTCTTTTTGAGAAATATTTTTTGATGAAATTTTTTATATAATAATAATAATTTTTAAAAAAAAGTTAATAAAATCTTATAAAATTGTAAAGTTCATTTTAATCTGCCCTATTTTTAGGGATTTTATTTCTATAAAAATGATGAAAAAAAAAAAAAAAAATCAATAAAATGATACCAACTTTGCATTCTTTTTTTTTTTTTTTTTTAATCTTTCTCTCAGTATTAGAATGTTAAAACCTTTTAAAATAAATTATAATAGTTGTTGTTTTTGTGTTTGATTATAATTCCAGATTGATTACTGTATGTAAACAGATGCAGGGATGAGTTTAGCCTAAGATAATGGCAGGTAAAAATTGCCTTGGTGGATCCCTTAAAAATGAGGGCACTGTGGCAATTTTCTTAGAATTTGCAAAATTTGTTTTTTTATTTGTAAAAAGTAATATTAGTGTAAAATCTTTAAGGAAATTAATAAAAATAAACAAAAAGCTTTAAAATCAAATATTTTTATTGACAAATAACAGATTATGATGACTAGAATTATTAACAGTGATACATTGCAGTGGAACATTTTCAAAAAAGAAATCAAACATTACAAAATTATTAGCTTAGAAAATGTTGTGGAAAGAACAAGAGTGTTGTATTACTGTATAAAAATATAAAGCTTTTTCAGCATAAAATCAAAATAACTATTGAAATAAATAAATAAAAAAAAAAATGTACAGTAAATGTCAAAACAATCCTTTACTTTCCAACATGAATATTAATTAGTAATTGCTTATAGATAAAAATATTTTCATGACTAATTTTTGTTTCCTAGGATTCAGAACTTACTCTACTCAATTTGTCAGAATTGAAAAAACATTAATTTTTTTTTATTATTTTAGATGGGGGAGGGGATGTTTTAAAATGAAATTTATTATTACTATGTGTGTATATACATATGATGTTCATTTCATTTCCGGTAGACATAAATGTTGCAAGATTGAAATAAACTTGTAACATTTTTTTTTTAAATTCCTTTCATTTACCTCTTTTCTTTAAAAATATATCTGTATAGGTCTCTAGTCAAATTTTTTTTTCTTGGAAAATCCCCACAACCACCTTATTAAGAAAAACCTGTAACATTTTTCATTTTAATTTTAAAAGAAAAATTTATTTAAAAAAAAAAATGAATTTTTTAAGTTGAAGGCAAAAATTGCCATGGATGTGGTTTGTTTTATAAAGGCACCGCAGCATTAAATATGGGAACCGTGGTATTTTGCCATGGCCTAAACTCATTCCTGCAGATGTCATACAGGGTTATTCAAAAAAAAAAAAAAAATGAACTGATTTCATTACATAATATCTTAATAAGGAAGAGCAACAGAAAACTCCAGCCAAGTCACGAGTATTTTACTCACAATGAACTTTTATTTCCTGTCTTACACATGTTCAATGTGGCCACCACCTGCAGCATGGGCAGCATCAATGCTATAAGATTATTCCTCTCAGACGCATATCACAATCCACTGGGTTGATCGCTGTTATTCGATGTTTAAGATCATTGAGGGTAGTGGGTAATGGTGCAACATAAACGCTATCTTTTACATATCCCCACAAGAAAAAAAAATTACACATGGTGAGGTCTGGGGATCTTGCAGGCCAAGCGCAAAGTAAGTAAATGCCTGAACGAGGTGTAGTCTGTAAGGTTTTAAACGTAGACATCTTAGCACATGCCAGATAGTGGATTGATAGATTGCAAGCTCACAGCTGGCTCAATTTGTGGATAACCCTCATACACAGCATAGATTCTTGCCACTTGTTCATCCTGGACTTTCCTTTACATACACCCACCCACACTCTTGAATCTGTTTAAACCACCATTGAATAATCTGCCCTTTTCTAAGAACAATGTTGAATTGCCTGTGTCAAAGATGCTGCACTGTGACAACCGTATTTGATTTCATGAACTCCCAAATGCCTTTTGCTGAGGACTCACCATTCCATGGATAAACTAAAAACTGAATGTTGCCAGAGATACAATGCAACTACAGTGCCCTTGTGACAGCCATTCAAAACTTAAAAAAATACTCTTCTTTCAAATATTCACTGACTCATTCCATGATGATGCTTGAGAACCGAAGCATTCCGTCATGAAATCGGTTCATTCTTTTTAAATAACCCTGTATTATAAGTCATGTCAAGAAAGGAGCAGTTAGGCTGATATCCCTTCAGAAATACTTTTTTAGATTCTATTTTTGGTTCCAAAATACAAGTGAAATGTAGGGATTGGAAATCTGAATAAGTTTAAAAAAAGAAAGTGTTTTGACCGATATTCAATTGCAATACAAAATTCTCTTTAAAAATAAGAAAACTGTGTGTATGCATTCTGATTGTCAAAATCAGAATGACTGTATTATCAAACTCAAAGAGAATATTTCAGAAGACACATTATGTAATTATCCTGATTGGAATACTGAGAATATTAAGTGTGGACATAAAGGTGAAAGGAATGTACTGAGTGGAAATATTTAAACAAAAAAAAAAGAAGAAAACTAATTGTTGGGGAAGAGCAGTTTATTTAGAACTCATAAAATATGAGTCATAACTTTAATAAAAATATTTGTGTTACTTTAGAGAAGAATTTAATTTTCACAGATGGAGGTGACTTTAGTTGGTTACTTTACAGTTTTTTTTTGTTTTTGTTTTTTTTTAACCCAATATAGCTACAATAGAAAACCATTAGCAAAAAAAAAAATAAAAAAATTGTTACCATAACAGCTTTGCTTCTGTTTCTCTTGCTCTCTAACCATATTATGTAAAACAGCATGAAGACTTTTTTTTTTATTTATTTATGTAATTTCTTAATGTTTTTATATTTAAAAAAAATATGAATTGGTGTTGTACTCTGCATAAATTTTACTACCTGGTATAAGTTCATGTCTCTCAAAAATGAACTGAATTTTGAAACCAGGCTTCATATAAAACTATGCAAATTGTACAACAGGATGTGGTTTCAGTTACTGTTCCAATATTTTCCTATTTATTATGAACTTACATAGATTTAGGAATTTTGAAAAGTTTTTAGTCTGTCCCACTTCCCCCAAATTGGTCTTTGGAAGTTGGGTCATTAAAATACTTTTTTTTTTTTTTTTTTTTTTTTTTTTAATTTATTTTTGTCACTTCCTGGGAAGTAGTTAACCAAATATGAAATTTTATACTGGAGTAGTTAAGATATTTTACTGATATAGCAAACAAGTTGACATTTATACAGGGCAATACGTATAACCTTTGCATTGATACTATAATGTAACCTCAGGGGTGGGGAAAGAGAAATGTTAAAATAAATTTATTACATCCTATATTTGAAAATTAATTTTGTTTTGCTTCTGCTTGTTTTAATCTTGACATGAGAACAATGATTTATAGAGACTTTTATAGTCAGTCTATATTTCTGAGATGAGGTATTATGTACATTATTTACATCACCAGTTAATAACAATGTAGGTCATATTTTTTTATCAGCTGTAAATTTGAACATATCTGACTGCTCAAGTCTTATGTTCATAAATACATTTTTTTATTTATGCAATGTAATTGTCTTAGGAAACAATTTTGTTAAGACATGAGGTGTTTGGGTTAGAAGCATGTATAAAGTGAGTGTGGAGAAGGAAAGAGAAGGTGCTGTTAAATTGAAAATAATATAGAATTTTGGAAAAAAAAAAGATTGAAAATTGGCTTGGAAAATAATTTAAAATTTCTAATTAGAACTGTGAGGATTTGAAACTGAGAATCTTAAGTAAAGGCATCAGAAAGGATGATACCCAAATTCCCATGCAAGTGAGTAATATCATGTGATGCTAGGCTGAAATTCTGACAGAGGGATTTGGGCTTATTTTCACTGACCAAAATCATACTATTCTGCTCATATTCATATGTAATTTTGGGGATGGGCCAAGGAATTTATCTGGCCTTAGATATCTAATTGTCACCACCTCTAATCACACAGGGCATCCTCCATAAACACGAGACACTGGGATGTACAGTGAATCAGTTCAGCTCAAGCCAGTCCAGTTGTTAGTTGCATCAAGCACATCTGAAAAGTAATTTTGCTTCCACAAATTTCCTGACAGCATATGACTGAATTGAAGAAAGGCAAATGCCAACACTCTTTTTCTTTACCTTCTAATACCTACCGCCCGTATAGAAATAACTTAGTTCTACCAGAAAATTTCATTTGTTTTTAATAAATCTTTATTATTGAAGATAATTCCACTCGACAGGTTGTCTATTCCTATGACAGCAGTATTCAGACAAAAAGAATACCACAGTTTGGCAAGAACAGAAGAAAGTAAATAATCTTTCTTTCCTGTCAGGAAATGCAACACAAACTTCAAGACAATACAACCAATTTGAATATCACCATAACCCAGCAAAGTTACCACAGCATGTGTATATGCTTATGGTGCCATTATGACTTCAGGTGCATGTTATATATATATATATATATATATATATATAAAATGATAAAAAAAATATATGCAGAATTTCCAAAGTATGTATAAGAATTTCATGTCTTATCTTCAAAGATTACTGATGTAACACATCTGAAGGCAGTCAGAATACATTAGCTTAAAGAGTGACCAAAATGAAAATGCTAATTTTTGCCAATATTGTATAACATTTTTCTGGATATAGATAAAAAGGATTAACTGGTTCATCCGGCTCTAAACATTTAGAGGA